CGCCGGCCTCGGTGGCCTCGTCGTCACCAAGAAGACGGCACCAGTTAAAGGTCGGTACTGGACCATCACTGGGCAACTGGGACCAGTGGGTTTGGTGGCCGAGGAGCACGACTGAGCCCAAATCGGAGCTGCTGGTGTCCCCAACCCCCTGGGTTTGTCCCCAACCCCTGAGTTTGTCCCCTCTGGGGTTGGGGAGGTGACAATGAGCCCTCCTGGATTTTTTTTGGCATTTTTAAAATTTATTTTCCCCCCCTCAGAGGCAGCTCAAATCTCAGTTGGCGGCTTAATCCCCCACCTAATGAGTCGGGGGGCTGCTCCTCACTTTTGGGGGTGAAGCCGGTGTCCCAAGGGCTCGTCCCCATCCCGGAGGAGCCCAAAAATTCTGCTAATGGGAGATGTGCAGGCTGGGAGCCAGAAAATCCGCGCTGAGCTGCAGCAGCATGTCTTCACGCCTCGATTCGGAGCCTCTAAAATTAGCCGGGTAGAGATCGCGGTGTCACCCGCGCACCCCCCGAGCTGCTCCTGCCATCCCAGTTCCATCCATTAGCTTATGCTCTGCCCCACACTGGGGGGCTGGTGTTTAACCCCTGCGATCCTGCAGCCCTCTGAGGGCAGAAAATTTCTAAAAATCCATTTTTATCCCATTCCATCAGGAAACTTTCCAAAAATCCATTCCCATTTTTTCCATTGGGAAACTTTCCAAAAATCCCCCCCTTTTTTTTTTTCCTTTTTTTCCATCAGCAAACTTTCCAAGAATCCATTTCTATTTTTTTTTCCATTGGGAAACCTTCCCAAAACCCATTCCCATTTTCTCCATCGGGAAACATTCCAAAAATCCATTTTTATTCCCAGTTTTTCCATCGGGAAGCTTTCCCTTGTTGCCCATCATCCCCACCGGCTTGTTGGCTGCTCATCCAACCTCTTCCCGAAGTTCTTGAGATCTTTGGTTGGGAAAAATGGGAAAAAAATAAAAATGGAAAAAATAAAAATGGAAAAAATATTTTTTTTTTCCCCAGGATTTTCCGGGAGGTGGATGACCATCCTGGAGCCCATGGCTGCGG